TTCCTTCCCTCTCTGTGTTATCTAAGCTGGTCTAGAGCTCCTAGAGTCAAGCAATTTTGCCTCAGACTCCTGAGTACCCAAGACTAGAGATACACATCACCATGCCCAGCTTTTCCATTCTGAAAGGCACTTTGCTGGCTAAAGAATATTGGTTTTTTTCTTTTAGCAGTTTAAATATGTGCCTCTACTATCTTCTAACTTCCTTTACTTCCCACAAGAAATCTGCTGTCATCCTTATTTTTGTTTCTCTATGATCAGCTTCTATTAAGATTTTTCATTTAATACTGATTTAAGCAATTGTTGTGCATTTGTTTTTGAGAAAAGTCTTGAACTCTTTATGTAGCCCAGGCTGGACTTGAACTCAAAATCCTCCTGCCTCAACCTCCAGCGTGCTGGGATTACAGCTGTGGGGCCACCAGGCCTAGATAAGCTTAAGCAGTTTGATTATGATGTAGCCTTCTGGGATAGCTTTCACCATGTTTCTTGTACCTAAGGTTTATTGATCTTCCTGGTTAACTCAGGGAGGAGTATATCATATTTATTAAGTTGAATTTTCCAATCTTTGAATATGATATGTCTTGTTTATTTAGATGGTCTCTGATTTCTTTCATTAGTATTTTGTAGTTTTCAGCACACAGATTCTCTACATGTTTTATTGATTTTTTTTTGCCTTTTTCATTTTTTTAGAGTTACAATAAATGGCAATTAAGATTTTTCATTTCATATATTTTTTGCAAGTATATAGAAATATATTTGACTATTTTCAAACTTTGATCTTGTATCCTGAAACCTTGCTGCCTTCACATTTTAGTTCTAGGATTAAAAAAAATAGATTCATTTGTGTTTCCCACATAGTTATTCATGTCATTTATAAATAGAACAGTGTACTTCTTCCTCTTTGAACTACATTCCTATTATTTCCTTTTCCTGTCGTATTGTACAGGCTAAGACTTTCATGATGATGTTGAATAGTAGAGACCAGATTTGGAGAGTAAAATCATGATTTGGTTTGTGGCCTTTTGACTATTCATTTACCAGTGTAACTTTAGTCCTTTTCTCTCCCAACCTGATTAATTATAAAATGACATATCTTGCTCAAGTAGATATTTTGTCTGTGTTTAATTTTGGAACTTCATTATATGTTCACAGGCCCTGACTTCCTGTGTTAAAGGGGTTGTGATGTTACTTAAGAGACATGTGGAGGCAGGCAACAGCTTTCTGAGTGATCCGGCCTTCGGTGGTGGCCTGGCAGGAGGATCCAAGCAAGGGGATTGGTGCATATACATACACACAGAGCACACCTGTGTCTGGGGCCGAGAACAAGAGGCACATAGGCAATTTGCCAGGTAAGAATCCTTCACTAGTTACTTTCCGTTCTACTTACATCCTGCTTCATCCTAACATAATTGGCTAAACTCCAGTTTTAATTATTTAGGCTGCAGAAATTTTGTGTGGACAAATGAAAACGAAATGGATCTAAATGACAGAAACCTCTGTAAAACTGGCTCCTCCCCACAGAGCTTTTGAAATGAGGCCCATCAGTTCTGTGGCAGCCTGCTCGTGATTTGAATCACTTCACAATGAGAACTTGGGGAGTAAAGCCTCCTCCCCAAGTCTTCATGAAAACCCACCATCACTACCAGGGTGCAGATGATTTCCCAGCCCTCTTCTTCCTTCCCTCACAGCATGAGAAAAGGAGCCATCACTGGCTGCAAATAGTCAGCTGTTCTTTCATCCACCAAGTAGCACCAGCTTTAGAGCTGTGTGTCTGTGAAGGTACGGTGTGGATGTAGTTTGACCCAGTTATGGCTTGTGTCTAGGAGTCGCCCCAAAGCCTCGTGCAGTCATAGGCAAGGGTTTTCAGAGGTGGCTGGATCAAGGGTGTGTGACTACTAAATTAGTCCCCTGATTGGGCTCTCGGTCATTTTTAGGTAACTTTTGAGAAGAACAGGACAGTGTTGACAAATCTAGTATCCTGTTCACAAGAAATCCTTAACTTTCTTTGTGTATAATTTTCTTCTTAAAGAACAATTAGGCAGGTCTGTTCTCTGGAGCACTTTTGTGAGACTAGAGTCCCAGTGTTTGGAAGGCCTTGTCAGAGTTCCAGATTTATATATTTTACTCATGTTCTCCACTTGAACATCCGATGTCCTTTCAGGCTCATGCATCCTGAGCCCATCTTCCCTGCTGCTCCCCCACAGCTGGGCTGAGAGGGTCCACGTCAGCACCAGCCCCCTGTGGTTTCAGGCCAGAAGGCTTGGTACTATCTTTGGCTTTGGTTTTTCCATGAACCGTATCCAAGTTCTTAATGACCCCTATTGGCTCCACTTCAAGAAGTAACTGGACTCTGTCCTACTCTTACCCGCTCATCTGCTGCCATAGGGAAGGCCATTGCCCTGATCAGCTGCAGCAACAGCTTCCTGCCTGGACAGCTGTGCCACTTGCTTCTTCAGCCCTGCTGTCTGAGGGCCCTGGAAAGCATCAGTTGAATAGTGTCACTCTCCCTCAAGACCCTCTGACTGTTTCTGCTAGCTCTGAAGCAAAGTAGGAGTTCTTGCCACTGACCAACTCCTTTGGGCTCCTGCTGAGCCCACCCCTCTCCCACTGCCTCAACATGCACAGCCCCTCCCAGATAGCCACGCGGCTTGCTGCCTCAACCCTTTAGGTGTTTCTTTAACCTGACAAACGAAAGGTGAATTTTGAAAACACGAAACTAGAGGACAGCTTCACACTCCTCTAGACCATCATCACCAGATTTTTGCATACTTCCTTCATCTGTCCCTTTTTAGAGGTGGCTGAGTGGGCTGGATTTAAAGGAAATTCTGGACTTGCCATTCATACTCACTTAAGGAACAGCTCTGAGAAACATGAGCTTTGCTTGGTTACTTTTCTCTCGTCACTAGGACAAAATACCCATCACTAAAATTAAGGAAGGAAGGTTTATTTAGCTCACTGTTTGCGGAGGTTTCAGTCTATACTTGGCTGGCTCCAAGGCAGAGTGGCACATGGCACATGGCAACTGTTCATGGCAATGGATAACAGCAAAAACAACAAGAGCAAAATGGAGGAGCAGCAGAGGGAAGAGCAAGCCTCTTTCCCTCCCTTACACTGTATGCAAACTACTCCCCCCATGGGGGGTGTAGCACTCACATCCATAATCCCAGCATTGGACCGTGGATCAGTCATAAACTCTAGAAGCCTGTCCCGTGACTGCATGAGGCTTTTGAGGACATCTAGACACAAACTATAACAGGTTTTTTTTTTTTTTTCATAGCCACAATACTATTTTCAAACTTAAATGTAATGTCCAGTCCAAATTTAAAAGCTATCAGATTGTTTCAGAATTGTCTTTCTGCAGTGTTGGGATCCAGGGCCCAGCAAGGCCTACACATAACATTTGGTGGGCACATCTTTCCTCTTCTAATCTAAACCCTCTTACAGAAGGTCCATGTCCTCACTTTGTCTGTTTACTTTGTTGTGGGGTTCTGTAACTTGCTTTCTTTTCCTCCTTATTTACTGTGCACTGAAGTGTGGTTCTAAAGACTTGATCCAGCTTTTTATTCTCACTTATCATTTCTTCTACATTTATTAGCTGGAATTTTCTGTAATGAACTATCCTTCATTTTTGTTGTTATCCTTTACGTCTTCCTCACGTGTTACTTATTAGCTAGGCTTTTCCTAACCATCTGGATAGAATAGTACCCACCCAGCACCACGCACATCCCCTTCCTCATTTTTCTCTATAATACCCACCACCAGCACCATTATATATGTCGACATGTTTATTGTTTTCCCTGTGTCCATTTCTAAACCTTCCGAGGGCAGGGATTTTTGTTTCATTTACTTTCTTTTTACTTTCATTTGCTTTTTGTTTCATACCCATCTCTAAGAATGATGCTACATCACAGCTGCTTAATATTTATTCAGTTTTTTTATTGAATGAATGAATGTTGAAGCTTCATTTTTATAAATTTCAGGATAATTATATGAAGATATTATCTCAAATACCATAAAATTGTAATAATAATCCTAATTCTGTAATAGTGTCTTTAGGATTCAAAATGAATTTATATAAGACACAATTAATTCACACATAATTTTTTGCAAAAACATACTTAATAACATTTATTAACTATATATGCAAGGTCCTTTCACACATAACCTCTCTCATTTTTACATCATCTCTGTGTAGTCTTATTAATTCCATTTTTAATGAGGAAACTGAGATGTAAGAGAGATAGTTAAAGCTATATATCAGTCTTTGATTTTTGACTCAAGTTTTTTGTTTTTAGGCCCAAAGGTAGCTTTTTTGTTTTTGTTTTTTGGAGTGCTAGAGATTGTACCTGCTGAGCATACCACTGAGCTACATCCCCACCCCTACCTACCTTTTAAAAATATTATAGCTGGCTTTTTGTTTTGTAAGTGTGACATAACTGACTTATACAGTTGGCCCATAAAGTGCATTCTGTTGTAGCCTTTTCATCGTATAAGATCTTCACTGCTCAGCCCCTGGGGTATGACTTAGCTCTGTGTGTCTCCTCCATCATCTTCAAAAGGCAGATAAGAAAGTATCCTTCCTCCCAGAATTCAGTAATCAAGGCATGTGTATATTAAATAGTGATAGCTTTTAATAGAGTATTAGTAATATTCTTCCAAGGTCAAAAGTTCTGAATTAATGTCCAAGTCAGTGAATTTCTTTCCATCTTTTAGGGAGGTGCTGTTTCAAACACTGAAATGTAAATGCCCTGTCATTTGTTTCAATGCCAAGGACTTTGTGAGAACAGTACTGCAGTTTTTTGGTGACGATGGCAGTTGGAAGCATGGTAAGCTACCTTACATTATCTTTACAATTTAGCTCTTCAACAGCGGCGCCTGTGGCATGGGAGGATAGCGCAGGTCACCAGGTCACAAGCTCCAGCTCACCTGGCCACACCCGCACTGACATAGCTGCCTACTCATCTGCTCTAGGCACAGGGCACCCTTTCCCCTGTGGAGCTGAGTGACATGGAGCTCTCACCAGTATATACTGCTTTGGTAATTTAAAGTAGGAAAAAATAACTTCTGCAGCAGAGTCAGACTGGGATTTGTTATTATTCACAAAAGTAAACCTTTCTAAGAATTAAACTATAGTCCAAAGCAGTTGCATCAAAACAATGTCAAAGATATTTTATCTTTCATTTATAATAGTAGAGAAGAGTTTTATAACCTTTTTACTAGGTAAGTAGATAAATGATAAAATAAATATAACAAAAATGTCCACTGTAGCGTCTAGGTAGTGAATACTCAAGTGTTCACCCTATAAGTCTCTTCAGATTGTGTGTATGTTTGGAAATATTCATAATAAAATATAAGAAAAAACTTTATTATGGAAAATTTTTGACACAGACCAAAAAGTCCCTATCACCCTATTCAGTCATGATCAACCTGCGACAATCTTTTTCCTCTGTGACTCTGCACACCCCAAACCCTGCAGATTATCAGCATGATATAAATAATCTTAAAATATTTCAGTTGAGCGACTGAAATGCACATTCCTGCTTAAAGTGATGCCATCGTCCCGTAGAGGCTGCAGTGATCTCTTCATGACTTGCTACCCAGCTGGTATTTGAACTTCCACGCTTATCCTGTCGCTGTTTTTATTTGCTTACCCTTTTTGTGATGTTAGAAACAGCTGACTGTCATTGTTTAGGTTTCTTAATTGCAGTGTGGTGCCACAGCTATCTGTCTTCCTTTCCACCCCTTTCAACCTTTAGTAATGGGCTATTCTACATTCACAGCATTTTTTGACATCCACATATGTGAGAGGACACACAGAGTTTTCTTTCTGTTCGACTTATTTCACTTGTGTCTTCCAGTTCTATCCATTTTGTTGCAAAGGATAGGATTATCATGCTTTTTCATGGCTGAATAGTACTCTGTTGTCTCTTCATCTGAAGATGGGCACATAGGCACTTAGGCTGGGTCCATACCATAGCAACCACGAATAGTGCTGCAGTGAGCATGACCGTGCTCTGATATGTGTGTGTGTCTGATATGTGTGTGTGTCTGATATGTGGGTATCATTTCCTTTGGCGATACACCCAAACTAAGATAGCATATGGTAGGTCAGAAAAAGCTTTATTACTTATATTTTGAGGAACCTCTGTTCTGTTCTCCATAGTGGTTGTACTATAGTGTCCCCTTTCTCCATCTCACTGCCATATGGATGAGCGTTCCCTTTCCTCCATTTTCTTTTCTTTTGTTTTTGAGGCAGAGTCTCACTATGTAGTTTAGGCTGGCCTTGAACTCACTGTGTAACCCAGGCTGGCCTTGAACTTGCAGTGATTCTCTTGTCTCAGCTGTCCAAGTGCTGGGATTACAGGTATATGCCACCAGTCCTGGCTTTTTTCTCCATTTTCTTGCCAACATTTATTTAATAATACTTACTGCATTTTGATCCATTGTACATGATCTTTGATGAGTTGGGAAGTGAGTCCTTTTGATAAAAGCCTAACTAGTCCAGCTTCTTATGGCTACTTTAATACATCACCATCAACTGGGGTTTTCTGTTGTTCTCTCTCTTTTTTTTTTTTTTTTTTTGTTTGAGATAGGGTCTGGGTGTTTAAAACAGCATTTATTCTTTCACAGTTCTGGGGCCAGAAGACTATAATCAAAACTTTGGCAGGGCTCTTCCTTCTGGATTCTGAGGGAGGATCCATCCCATCATGCCCTCCCAGGTTCTGGTGATGGTTAGTGATCCAGGGTCTGTCTTCGGCCTCTACGTGCTCCTTTCCCTGTCTGCGTCTGTGTGTGGTTTCTCTTTTTCTGTCTCTCACAAGTACACCCATCACTGAATTTAGCTGCCCCCCCAGTCTCAAGATGCCAACCATGGTCACATCTGCAAAGACTTTTACATCAAATAAAGTTACAGGCTTCAGGCAACATTTAGGAGGCACAATCGACTCTGCTACAAGGTCCATCTTCTTAGTACCTTTGTTGAAAAGTAGCTGACCATTGAGATAAGGATCTATTTCCAATTCTCGGTTCTATTCCACTGAGCTCTGGACCTACCCTGTTCAATGTTGATTATGTGTGTCCTTCACTGTGTAGTTCAAAGTCACCTGAAATGCAGCATTTATACTGCATTAGTTTGTTCTTTGAATTCCTATTTCATATGTTGAATTTTGTTGCCCATCTTTCATATTTATTGCTTCTCACCTAGAATTCATTTTCAAGCTCTTTATTCTTTTTTTCTTTTAATTTTTTTTCTTTTCCATCTTCTTTTTTCAAGGCATTATCAATTATATTTTTTTTGCTTCTGTGTCTTGCTAACTTCAGTTTTTATTTCTGAATTCTTTTCATTTCTCTTTCCTGGATTCTGTCATTTCTTTGTATAAATTTTCTTTTTCTAGATCATCTTCTAAGTATTTCTAGTTCTGATTTATTTTTTCATAGGCTCTATTGTTTTCTTAGCTTATTTTTAATCTGTTTTGTTGACATTTCTTTTTCAACTACTGGTGTTTCTTCCTACTGAGATTTGTCCTGTCCGGCTTTGCTTTATCAGTGGTGGAAGGGAGTTTAAAAGACCAGTCCAGCTCTGTCAGGCCTCACCAGGACTTCCAAACATGCCTGTTGATAAGAACCTTTAACTCTGGAACATTAATTAGAGGTGTGAAAGTGGAATGAAATATCTCCTGGGTCAGTCCGCTGTAGCAAGCAGTGTCATGTAAAGTCATACGTTGCCGACTTGGAGGCAAGCAGCCACAATGATTGTTGGCTCTCGTCCTGACTTCCACATCTGATGGATGTCTTGGACATCAAATGAACAAGTTATGACACTGGCTGCTTTGGTAAATACAAGTTTCTTATACTAGTATAATTTAAAAGAGGCCAGGAAACATAATATATAATGTAATTTAATTGAAAAGCAAATTCCTTTCTGTTCATTTAAAGATGTTCATCTTTAAAGATGTTTAAAGATGTGTTTAAAGATGTTAGTGGTCTTTATTAGCAGTTTTAGAATCTGACCACACTATTCTACAGTGTTCTCTAAACTCCTTAGTTTTGTATGGCACAATTTAAAATATTAAAGTATCTAAACCAGTTGTGGTGGCACATGCCTGTAATCCCAGCATTTGGGAGGCTGAGGCAGGAGGATTGCTGTGAGAGGCCAGTTTGGGCTATATAGTGAGACCCTGTCTCTACATAACTAAAGTATCTTAGATCAGTGCTAAAACTTACCTACTTAGCAAATGTCTTCTTTTTTTAAAAAAAGCATCTTCATACACATCTCTCAGATATGTACAGTAACCTTCCCCTTAGTTTTCAGGTGTGGAAGTGACGTGGAAGGGCTGAGGTAAACTCCAGAGTTCTTTCCACAGCATTGTGGTGCACACAGTATGACCTCAGTTCTCTCACGGGATTTTTTTTCACATCAGGGAACATCAGTCTCTGCCTGGCACACACTGTCCACCCTTAACACACTGTGACAAGGACACTCCTGCCCCTCTTCCTTGACTCAGGAGCCCAGAGTCCCTGCGCCATTGTGCAGGGCCAAGAGGGAGGCAGATGGGAGGCAGGCGGCCGGGACGATGTGGGAGGGAGGACACATCACCTGCAGTGACTGAGAAGCCAGAGAGGGGAAGGAACAAGGGCAGGGAGAGGAAAAGGGGGAAAAAGAGGCACGAAGCAGGCCTAGGGTTCTGGTGCGGCCTCTTGGAGCATGGTGTTGGGAGACCCAAAGTCCAAGCTTGCAGTCCCCATCCTTCCTTGCTGTGGGATCCACTTCTTGAATGTAGTGCCCATGGAGACCATCTGTGTGGGGCCTGGGTGTTGAAGGCACCTCCTCAAAGGGTGGCGGTGACTGAGGAGTGATAGAGTCATGTGGGTACTTAGCTGTGTGATCTGAAGGCAGTGGTAATAGTGTTGGTGTTCATTTGATGTTTAAGAACCTCGTCCAGGCAGGAAAAGCAACACTCATTCTGGGGGAAGATTAAGTGTCCTTTTCCTCTTCAGTTGCTGATTTTGTAGGACTAGATCCCAGAATTGCTGCGTGGCTCATAGATCCCAGTGACGCCGCACCTTCTTTTGAGGACTTAGTGGCGAAACACCTTGAAAAGTCCATTACAGTCAAAGCAAGCAGCACATTTGGAAATTCCTCAAGAAATAGTGTGGTGAGTCATTTTAAGATGTGGTTTACCCACCTTAGTACAATCCTGACTTTTTTCTAGAAACTTCCCAACTTCATAGCTAACCTAATAGTAAAAAGAACATTGTCAACCTTGATTTTTACTTATTCCACACGGGCACTTTGACCTTGGCACATCTGGTGAGAAATGGTGGATAGGATGGGAGATTCCCCACCACCTGTTCCTGAAAAATCTCACTCACAGTGGGGCTCTTCTGAGTGGATTCTTTGCTGTCAAAGTTGAATGCTCCATGAGCAGAGAGCTGCTTCTCTATAAACCCTTGGTGCAGCAGAGGCGGCCGCTCTGGCTGAGCTCCTAGGAAGAACCCACGTGGGGAGAACAGGGGACCTACCCGGTGACTCTCCTCAGCCCCCGACCCTCCCCTGGAGAGGAAGGCTGGGCGAGCCAGCCAGGGCCGAGTGTGCTGGAAGTGCTGCTGGTGAACCACCGAGGGCAGAGGGAGCTTGAGGTAGAGCACAGCCAGGGAGCAGGAGCGGGGATTCACCCTCTGCCCTTCATCCTCCTGACCCCTGGTAGGCGCAGGCTGTAAGTAACAGAAACGTTCTCTTTTGGTTTCAAAAGAAGCTCATAGGAAGGTCAGGGGGTAGCTCTAAGAACTGAAGGAAAAGTAGAAGCAGGCCTCACAAGAATGAGAGGCTGTGGGCCTGGGGAGCCTGGGGCAGTGCCAGTGCCACAGTGCCAGCACTGTGCCAGAGTCACAACATAGCTCTTGGAGAGTGGCCCCTTTCCCTCATGTCCTGTGGCCCCTCCAGCAGGGGAGGGTGGGTCCTGTGGTCAGTGTTGCTGCTCAGAGTCCTGCTGTCAGGCAGGGAGCCACTCCCAAGTGGAAGCTGGAATATCATTACTAAAGAAAGGAGTTGCCTACCTTGGCATTACCAGTCCCATTTTTCCAGTGAGGAGACTGAGGCATTCAAGATTAATAATGTACACTCACTTCACCCAAGGTCAAGTGGAGACCGCGGTTCAGTGTGGGTTCCCGACTTCATTTCTTTCCTGCATTTCCATGTGTTTTCTTTCCAGCACAAGAAAAGGTGGGTTGAGTTGCTTAGGAGAAAGGAAGGGCACTCAGGGAGAGGGAGCAGCACAGGATGACAAGGCCACCCAGAGAACAGGCGCAGGGCAGCTGGAGGAGGAGGAGTGAGGGCTCTCACGGGCTGTGCTAAGAGCTGGCCTGCCCTGGGGCTCTTAGAGGAAATGCATGGCCACTTTGGAGTGGAGAAAGCCCCTGCAAGCAGCATTACGGAATTCTGCCGGGTGGTGGCTGGAAAGAGTCTGCCTAGTGTCCTCTGATGGGTCATTCCCCGCAGAGCCAAGGCCTGCAAATGATGAGAGTCTATCTGGGTGTTCGCAGCCAGCCACTGGCCCTCTGGCTCACCCTGAGGCCTCTAGCAGACATAGCCTGAGTGACTGAGGTGCTGAGGGTGGAGCAGAGCTCTGGGGGTGGAGCTGAGTGGATGTTAAGCAGGGTTAGATTGCATGTCAAGGGGCTACCTCTTATCCCTTCTCTGTCTGCCAGTCACAGCCCTTTTGGGGGGTCTTTCAGGAGCCCCTGCAGGTATCTGTGCTAGAGTGGGAATGAACAGGTAAGTGTAGGATATGGCAACCATTCTGTGTGAGTGAGTTTTGGCACCTGAAAAACTGCTGTGTTCTTGTTCTGCCGCTGTTTAACCACTGTCTCAGCAGATATCCTCTTCGTGTTTCTATTTCTCAGTCTGTGAAATGAGGAAACCTTGAGTGGTAAGAAAGCCCCTGCTGTGCCCAGCTTGTGCCTGCATGGTGGAGGTCTTCCCGTAGACTAGGCCTTGTCTCCCTGCAGCAGTGGGTTAGCATCTGCCCTCAGGCACTCCTGGGATTTCGCTGGGAACACCTGGGAGTTGTGTCATCTTCCAGACTGTGATGAACTGTGCTAAGTTTGTCTGAATTTTATCTTTTTCTCTTTTTAAGAATCAGAATGTATGTGTGAACCTGAGTATACTGTACAGACTTACGATGGACCTGTGTTCCAAGCTGAAGGCAAGGCATTTTGTTCTGAGTTCTGGTTGTGCAAGAGCTGATTTTTCAGTCGCACTCACACTCACAGGGCACACTTGCAAGTGAAGCTGAAGGAAGTGACACATTTGTTCTAGGGCCCCACTCAGGGAAGGACAGACTAAACCGTAAGACCCTGGCTTTAGAATAGTTTCTCTAGGTAGGACATAATCGCAACTGTTTCCATGCCTCCCTCTTGCCAGGTGTTTCTGGTGCTGTAGCTCATCTAGAAGCAGAGCATTTGTTTTGTTTAGTAATGAAATGGGCTCAACTTCCCTCACCTTCTGTCTTCTGGAAAGCCATAGCCACTGGAAGGGCGGCTGAGGGGCCAGAAGGAAGGCAGTGTGTCCAGGGCTGAGGGTTAGGGGCAGGCTCTGGCAAAAGGGAGAGGCCTAGGGTGGCAGCCATGGGGCATGTCTACCCCAGACTCTATGGCCAGCTGTTTCTCCTCCTTCAGTCTCCTGCTGGGCCCCAGAAAACCTTCTAAGGGCAGAGCAGGAGCCTGGGCGTGGGGGATTGCCCCCCACAGACTGGGTGGCTCAGGCAGGAGGATTGCCCCCCCCTCATAGGCTCAGGCAGAGAGTCCATTGGCAGGGGCAGGCAGAAAAGCCAAGGTGGGGCTGGAAAGGAGCCCAAGGCTCTCAGATGGCAGCAGGAAGAACAAGGATGCAAATTCCCTAATGAAGAACGTGAAAGATGAGGTAAATAAAGTGGAGGACTTCATGTTCATAGAGCAGGTCGCCCAACATAAATATCACGTGCCCCCCAGACCAGCTGGCAGTGGCAGTGAGAAATCAATGACAGTCTGGGCACATGATAGGAATTCAGTAACCCCGTTCTGAAATTAAAATAAATGCTAAAAGTCCTCAAGTCCTTCATCTTAACCATGAGAGTGTGGTGCACACCTGCAATCCTAGCTATTTGTTTGGAAGGTGGAGGCAGAAGGGTCGCAAACTCAAGCCCAACTTCGGAATTTAATGGGACCCTGTCACAAAAGAAAAAATTTAAGAAGAGATATGGAGCTGCACATGGTGGCACACACCTATAAGTCCAGCAGACTGGGTGGCTCAGGCAGGAGGATTCCAGGTTTGAACCCAGCCTGGGCAACTTAGTAACTTAGCAAGACCCAGTCTCAAAGTAAAAAAGAAAATAAAAGGGCTGGGGATGCAGGTCAGTGGGAAGGCCCTGGGTTCAATCCTTAGTACTGCGAGAGGGTTGGGAGTGGGATTTGGCTGGTCTGACATTTCTGAATAATTCCCTCTACCAGGTTTTGATGATAAAGCAGCATATGTAACAGAAATAGGAATTTTATTAGGAAGGACAGGGAGGGGAGTAGATGTGAAGAAACTTGCTCCAACAGGAGTTGCCTTAATTCTAGTTTAACAAAGTCAAGTAATTCTTCAACCAAATGCAGATATGAATTCTAGTTTAAAGATGTATTTCTTCTTATGAAACAGGCTAATGGTTTATGGCAACTATTTTGTACTTTGGAGCTTCCTCTGATCCCAATCTTGGCAGGTAAGTTATCATAAAGACAAAGTGAGTCATTTTACTAGAGGATTCTTCACATTGTTTAGAAACAAATCTTCTCTGTAGCTTATTTAGCAATAGGTACTATATTTGCTGGGCTTTCAAGAGATGCCAGCCCTTTATTTTCCTTTCTGAAACAAGAGAGGTTGGGCCATGTCACCTCCTGATGTGGAAGAATGCAAAAGTTCTGACATTTGGTCAGCAGGGACCCCTGCTTGTCTGTCTACCGGATGAATTGCCTTGCTGGATGCTAACCTGCTGGCTGTTGTCTCATCCTGGCTTGCTGCCCTCTGCTTGGCCCGAGAGGTTCCAGAAACCCTCCTGTCATCACTTTGCAGGCCGCCCTCCCGCATCTGCCCCTGTCCAGGTCCTGCCAGGCCCACAGGAGGGCAGAGCCTCACAGCCAGGGTGCTTTCCATCCCCTCGAAGGCCAGCTCTGGCAGTGTCCCTGAGTCCTGATCTCACATGGGATGTTGCCAGACCCTGTGCTGAGTACACAGAAGTTGCTGTCACTGTGTTCTCATCAGGAGGGGCTCTTTCGCCTTTACCGAGAATTCACTCAAGCAATGCAAATATGTCTGAATTGCTTTTGAATCACAGTGATGGAAAACCACAAGATTCAGGTGAACAAAGAAGAAATGGAGAGGATGTCAGTGCTTCTTGGGGTGAGCTGTCATTTCAGACTCTGTTGTTTCTCTCCAGCGGTCTCAGCAGATTGTGCTTTCCCCTGCCCTGTGGCCCCAGTCTGATGCTGACTCTGTCCCTCCCTGTCCGTGGTCCCGAGGGGAGAACTGAGTACTGAAGGACTTAAACCACACTGCATCTGTCGTGTGGTGGACAGCACTGCCTCCAGTGAGTACATGGGAGATTCTTTAGTGGATCTTCCAGCTCCTTCTCAAAAGTCAGCTTTTTCTTGCAAGGCCATTACCCCCTCAAGTTTGGTGAAGGAATTCTTGATTTTCTTGAAAAATAAGAATAGAGAAAGATACATGGGAAATGTATAAAAACTTTCCACCTGAATTACGTCAGAGGAAATTCCAGGGTAACCCCTCCTGGCCCAGACCAGAGGATGTCCAGAGCCCCTTCCTGCTGTCAGACGTGACCACGCCCCTGCCTTTGGAGTCATCCGTGCGGGTGTTGCTTTTCTTTATTGTTTTCCACATCTGTGCTGCCCTGATGGTTTACTTGCTTTTGATCTGTAAGTCAATCAGTAGTTCGTGGGTGACTTTCTCCTCAGCCCTCCGTGTCTCTGCCCCACTGTCACTGCCATGTGGTGCTCGGATCTATGAACCGCGTCACGGTGGTGTCTGCCCCACTGTCCAGAGGGATCTCGGAGTTGCCAGTTTATGATCACTACAAACCACACATGAGTTTAGTTTCTTTTTTCCTGCTTACTACTGTGGTTAATAGTTTTTGCACTGCCAGGTGGTGGTGAACACCTGTAATCCCAACACTCAGGAGGCAGGAGGGTCACTGCTAGTTGAAGACCAGCCTGGGCTACACAGTGAGTTCAAGGCCAGTCTGAACTACATAGTGAGACCCTGTCTCAAAAAACAAAACAAAACAACAACAATGAAAAATCAAAATAGCTTTTCTACTGTCTCTGGCTATGAGGAGTTTCTTTTCTATAGAGGATCTGCTCAAGTCTTTTACTCATTTTTATTCTGACTTAGAGGACATCTTGATATATTCTGAATATAGCCTACTACCTCCTCCTCTCCTTTTCTCTTATTTCATGTGATGCTGGATCCTATTCTAGTTCTAATGTTTGCCCCCCAAATTTTGGTGTATTATTACTTTTGCTTCTTTCAGTTTGTTTCCCTGGGTTTGAGGGAGGGTGACTCTATGCAGCTGATGATTCCCATGAGTCAAAATATATTTTTTAATATCCATTTTGGTAAAGTATAGATTGTTTCTATTCCATGAAGATCTTTTGTTGGGAATTCACAAATTAAAGAATTAAGTAAAATAATTTTAATGTGAAATTAAGTGATTTTAATTTGAAAACTATGCATCAGATTAATTATATTTGTCATATTTTTAGGCACGTCTCAAAGAATTGGAGCAAGAAGCCCATTTTGTTGCAGGAGAACAGTTTCTTATAATGAGTAGTAATCAACTCAGAGAGGTAATGCTAAATTTTGGTTCTTTAGAAAAATATATTTTTTACTCAAGAATTAAAATGGAGATTTATTCTGAATTTACAAATATTATTTTATGTTGTCTAAAAATTATATAAGTTGTTTCATGCTCTCTCACAAGAACGAATGGATTGAGAGTCATTATTAAAAGCCTTTAAATCCAAAAAAAGTCCCAAATGAGAATGTAAGTGTTTTATAACATCTGTTTGGGCCTATCTCCTCTGTGTGGTGGCCTTAACTGGGATGGTGACGTTCGCTGCCTCCTCTTGGGAGCTCTCTCACATGTGTGCTTTGATGTTTTTAAAGATCCTCTTTGGCAAGTTGAAGCTGCACCTGTTGAGTCCCAGGAAGATCCCCCCCAGGCCAGGGGCACAGCGGTACCCGTCCACGTCGGAGGCTGTGGTAAGGGTCCCATATCCTTCTTTGTGACATACTTGGTGTCTGCACCAGGGGAAGCGCCCCTTGTGCCCAGGCAGCCTCCTGGCCCGGGTGCTCCCACCCACAGGGACTCTGGGCTGTGGACCAGGAGAAGCAGATGGCTGCTCTCCAGGAGCCTCTGGCTGGCTGGACTTCTGGCAAGGGTCATTTGGTAGAGTTCTGCCCTTAAAACACATTCTTGACAATCCAGTTAGGACTTCATGCTCTGTGTCCCCAAATGGAGATCACCAGTATTCTCCAAATTTACTTTAGAGAATTTTAGTTACCCTTCTCTTCAGAGGAGTAAATTCTTAAAAGACCAAGAATAGTGAGATTCTACTGTAAGGGGCAGAGCAGAAATAGATGTTCAAAGTCAACAAGCAACTTTACTGACAGGATGCAGAATGGAGGTCAGTGAATAAGTGTACTCCTGTCACCTTGGTGAATGCAGCCTGAGGCCCTGCTTTCTGCCTCCCGTGCCATCAGCTTTAGATTTTGAGGCAGAAGAAGCTTTCTTCTGAGACTCCTCTAGCATCCTGCCTCTCCAGCACCACGTCTGCCTGTTTGCCTCAGCCCATGGTGGCACTTAGGGCATGGGCCTCAGTGGAGCCATTCTCCAACAGTGCATACCTGGCCCTAGCAGCTCGGGGTGGCTACTGGGTGAATAGGCATCACCCATAGAAGGTGCTCCATGGAGGGGCTTGGAACTGTGTCATCCAGCTCTTGTTCTTCACCTTAGGGAAGGGTCCCACTCTCCTGTTAGGTCCTCAGGTGCCAGGGTATAGTAATAGGGGAACAGGGATGTTGGGGCCTGCCCCATGCCCCTGCCACCTTACTTGACTGCTCTGTGCCTTGGTTTTTGCATCTCTGAAAAGGGATCTTGTGAGGATTCAGTGAAATTGTGTGTGCCATGTATCCAATAGAGCAGCAACAAAAAACCAGTCAGAGTTGGCTGTAGCCATTCCAGTCAAGTACCTGAGAGTCGTTGTTGAGTTTCTTTCTTTCAAGTTCACCAATACCAAGTCCTAAACTCTTCCTGCAAAACGTGTCCTCTCTCACTTGATTTACTCCAAACCTTCTGGCCAGTCCCCTTTCTTCCCTTACCTGTGTTGAGAGCACTAGAGACATTATGTTACTGCCTTGACTAAAACTCCCGGGGCTTCCCGTCACACTCAGACTCCAACCCAAGCCACTGAGCGCATCTCCAGCCTTGGAGCTAGGTCTCCTCCTGAACCTGGCACTGTGACTGCCTGTGACTCCACACAGGTTCTTTTCCCAGTCCCTAGACTCTGCCTATAAACTGCCTGCTGGCTTCTGTCAACCTAAATATTGTTTTCGGAAGACTTTCTGGTCACCCTCTGTAGTAAGGCCCCAGTCACTCCTTGTGTCTTCCCCTTGATTTGCTTTCTGCATTCCACTTACTCTTATCTAATGTGATCTCAGGTGTTTGCTTGCTTATTCCATTAGAACATAGGCTGTACACGTCAGAGACCTCACTTTGTTCTCATTATTAAAACAGCCTAAAACCAGTGATTGGTGGAGCTGAGCTGAATGTCTGTCTGCTCCTAGAGTCTAGGACAGATGTATTCCTGGGAGCTGAGTCCCATCTTGCTGGAGAGACCCCAGCTTAGATCCTACCCTACAGAGGTGGACAGTGGGCTCCAAAGATCTGATGTTGGTGCCTCAAGATCTGATGTTGGCGAAGCCTCGAGGTCCTCTCTGCAGCTGTGTGTGGGGATCCCAGGCAGATCATTTTTTTTCCTAGCACCAGCTGGCACTGTTGCCCTTCCCTTGCGGCTCCTGCGCTCTCCAGACAGCCAGCAGTGTAAGAAAGGAAGTCTTAACTCTTTCCTGGTATTGCAGCATGTTCTTGTGGACAATGTTAAAACAGTGCCTTTAACAGATTCTTTTTTTCTACAAGGACATGATGGACATGAATCATACCCCTTTAATTAAACAGGTCATGCTGTTCATTTTATACATTGAAAAGATGACTTTCACTAGGTAATACATGCGCAGGCCTCAAAGAGCAAGATTAGGACTCCTTTCCATACTTTCCTCCATCCGCTCTGTCTTCTTCACAGGTCCTAGTGAACCCCAAAGCCCTGCCCACCCCAGCTGCCTCCCCTCCTCCTTGCCCACTCCTCCATAGCACCCCAGGGCTCATGATGGTGTCTAGGCATCACCTACAAATTGTTATGCTCAGCTCTGTGGGCTGATCGGAGATTGAGTTCTAGCAAGGCCTAGACCTTGCTTTGTTCCTGGAGTTCTTCCCGGGCTTGAAACAATGACAGGGGCCAGTAAACACTCAGTAAATCTTGAGTGACTCCTTCAACTTTTCATGTAAACTGATTTTTTTCTCTTTTCTTCATATGGTTTCATATTTTGTTTTGTTTTGTTTTTGTTTTTGGTACTGGGAATTGAACTCAGGACCTCATGCTTGCCAGACAGGTACTGTGCTGCTGAGCTACATCCCTGGCCTTTCATATTATTTTATTCCATGTATTTTCTCATTCCATTATAATTCTTCTCTGATCACTGAATTGTTTGAAAATGTCTTTAAATTTCCACAGTTATGGGAACTTCCCAGATATTCTCTTATTGGTTTCTGAAGTAAATGCACCAGGGTCAGAGAACATGAGCTCCACAGTACCAGCTCTCTGCCACTCACTGTCAGGACTCACTGACATGGCATAAGGGTGCGTGTCAACTGCACCTGTGCAGGGTGGTGTTCTCCAGATCTGTGGGTTCGCACGGGAGGACTGTTCCTCCTTCCACTCCAGCTGTGGAACAGTGGGAATTCCCACCACTCAGTGAACACACAGAAGTGAAGCACAGGAGCCTCTCCTTAAGCACACATGGGGGGAGACTTTGGTGTTTTTCACTCCAGTGAAGGCACATGTCCTCAGAGCACTGTAGGAGATTCAGATGTTGGGAAGATGGTGTGATCTGAGAGTCAGAGTCCTGGCAGGCAGACTGGACTAGCTGTTCATCATTTCTGGAAGTTGCTTCTCTGACCTGTAACAAACTGAAGTGATAAGGGTTTCAGGTCATGATATATATCCTCTGATAAGTGTCTGGTATGTATTGTGTGTACTGCTAGGCTTTGCAGTACTGCCATGAATAGGACAGATGGTTTCCCTATTTTATTTAGCAAACATTTACTGGGGCCCTGGCTTTGTGTCAGATGTTTATAGCTTGGTGGGGGAAAGGTCTTTGTCATCAAAAAATATCTATTCCAGTGAAAACCTGTATTAAGATTCTCCAGAAAGACAGAACCAATATATGTAGCTGTGATGAGAGAGGGGATTTGTTAGGGAAACTGGATCATGGAAATCGGAAACTGAGCAGTCCCACAGCTGTCTATAAACTAGAAGCCAGGATGCTGGTATCATGGTTTAGTCCAAGCCCCAAAGCCTTAGTCCAAGGAAGCTGATATTGTGATTCTCAGTCCAAGGTGGGAGGCTTGACAGCTAAGGGCTACTCGAGTAAGTCCTAAACTCCAAAGGCCAGAGAGCGTGGAGTTATGATGTCCAAGGTGAGGCGGAAGATGTCATGATTTCAGGAAAGAGAGAAAATTCAACTTTCCTCTATTTTTTTGTTCTATCCTGGCTCTGACTGAGCGGATGGTGCCACCCACACGGCAATAGATCTTTCTCACTCAGTCTCACGTCACTCTTCCCTGGAAATGCCCTCTGAGATAAACCTTGAAGGAGTACTTACTTCATCAGCTCTCCAGGATTCCTTAATCAAGCAAGGCTGACACCTAAAACCAACTATCACAAGAACACATGTATCCAGTGGGATAAGACCCACTCAAGTGAAAACGGTCATAAGAAAAATACAGCAAGAGTGATGGACTTTAGATTGATTGTCCAGAAAGAATTCTGAAGAAATGACATATAAACGGAAGTTTGAAGATAAGAACCACCCACATCACAAACAGGAAGCAGGGCCTTTCTAAAGGGAGGCTCTGGCTGCTCTAGAGTCAGGAGAGTTCTCCAAGGGAGAAGTAGACAAGGAATCCCATCATGTTGTGCTCTCAGGCCATGCTGAGGAGTGCAGACCTCAGTACAATGGAAGGCCTTGGGATGGATCTTAGATTTTTTTTTAATAGAGTATTTTTAGAACAGTTTTAGTTTCACAACAAAATCAAGCAGAAGGTACACAGTTTTTATATGTTCCTTATCCCTGCCCATGCATGATCTTACTATCTGCTTCCCCCACTATTGCAATTGGATTTAAAATGACCCCCAAAAGCCTCCCATGTTCCGAGTATGAGGCTTTTGGAAGGTGAATGGGTCATGAAAATGCTATCCTCATCAGTGGATTAATCCTGAAAGGATGTCTTCTTGTCTCTGGCTCCTCCCCTCTCTCACTGTTTCCTGGCTGCCATGGCTTGAGAAGCTTTCCTCCACTATGCTTTTCTATCATGCAGTTCCTGCTTGGAGCCAGCCAACCATGGACTGAACCCTGTGAAACCACAAACCAAAATAAACTGCTCTTCCCTTACATTGAGAGTATTGGGCATTTTGTCCCAGCAATGGGAAAATAACTAATACACCCACAGAATGGTACATTTGTTGTAACTGACAAAGCTACACTGACACATCATTGTCACCCAAAGTCTGTATTCCATTACAGTTCACCCTTGGTACTGGATAACCTGTGGGTTTGGACAGATGTGTAATGACATGTGTCCACCATTATAGTATTAAACAGGGTATTTTCACTGCCTTAAAAGTCCTCTACACTCGGCCTGATCAACCCTTGATCCCTCCATCTCCTGGAAACCACTGATCTTTTTAATGTCTCCATAGTGTTGTCTCTTCCAGAATGTCATAAAGAGTAGTTGCTATCATATGTTATCTAGCCTTCAGATCAGCATGTTTCATTTAGCAACATGTACCTCAGTTTCTTCCATGACTTTTCATGTTTTGATAGCCATTTTTTAAGCATTGTTTCATTGTTTGTTTTCATTGTTT